CCTGACCAGAAGAGCTCTTTTAATGGTTTATTGACATATCGCAATAAATAAAGTCACGAGTATCTACATCTCTATCTCTGTCTATACAATCATTTGGTGGCCAGAGAGCCCAAGAGTCCTAGCTGCTCTGATCAGATCACGTAGCCAGAGTGCCCTGTGATCTCCAAGTCCTTCTGCCGCTGGAGGGAAAAGTGCCGCTTGTCCAGGGAAGTGTACTTGGCAGCATTCTGTTGCTCCCCCTGGGCCCCCGCCTCTCCTGGGTGTCCTTCTAAGTCTGCCTCCCTGAACTCTGCTTACTCTTCATTTTTGGCCATTCTTCCATTTTGATAACCCCAGAAAATGTCAACTCGGTGGAGCCTACCCCTCAAAATGCAATGGAGTCCTATTGGATTTAAAAATGAATAAGTTTTATCAGGAAGAAAATCAAATAAGTGCGCAAAGTCACTTCAGTAGAAAGTACAAAAACTCCACCTGCATAGAAAACCATGAAGTGGAAGTTCAAGAGTGGCTTAAGATAAAGAATGGACAGGTTTTCTAGGATCAGATGAAACACAGGTTCACAGTAGAAGGTAGTTTTGCAAGAACAATTGACTGCAAGGCTGATTTATGTTGGTTTTTGATGTTCAGCTCAGTAAGGTCAGTCATTGAACAACAGCCAATGCATTGGGAGTGAGCAAGACTTTGGCTTACTCCATTTTCCTGACTGGTTCATTTCAGCAAACAAGCTTACTCTCTGTCCAGTGTAGCTGTCTGCTTAGGTAACTCATACAAAACAAACCTGTTAATTTCAGGGGTACTTTCACACTGTCCAAGCTAGATTGACTATGGTAATCTCTTGAGGAGTATATCAGGAAGTTTTTTTTAAGCACATTCAACATGAACACTTTTAAGAAAGGCTTGGATAGGAACTTTAGGAGGTTGTAGAAGAGAAAAGATATACCCTCAATCCCACTGTCAGCCCTCTTGGAAGACCCACACATGACCACATAAATCTAAAATCTCAGAGTTTGAAGGGCCCCCTGAGATTATCAGGTGCAATCTATACCTGAGCACAAACCCTGACCGCACTATTTTAACACTTCTTTACCTCTCAGCACTCCAGTAAGTTGCATTGAATGTACTTGTCTGCATTGGTAGATAGATTTCACTCATGAGGAGCTTTCTACCCAAAGGAAATAGCAGACCAAAGTAAAAAAAATCATCCCAGGTGCCCCTCCTGGACCAGAGACCAACATATTGATGCCACAAGCAGCATATTACCAATGAAGGCTGGCATTTAAGAAGTATTGAAAAAGACGTCATCAAAGACACATATAGCCAGTCATGAAGTAGGCCAGTTGTGGAGCAAAGGTTATGAGATAACTGACGGCTAGAGGATAGCACACTGCTGGACCAAGAGGAGGAAGTAGGAGATCAACCCTTCCAAGAAGAATCTTTTACCTTTCTCCTTTCCCTGAATAGAAGGGAAAGCTTCCTAACGATTAGAAACGTCCAAAAGAGAGACAATGCATAGTGGCTAAAGGTCTGTCCTTGTAGCCCTGAACAAGTCTTTTGATATAAGCCTTAGTTTTCTTATCTGTAAAATGAGGTGGTTGAACTAGATGGCTTCTGAGATTCCTTCCAACTTTTAATTCTGTGATATTATGGAAGTCAGCATTTATTACTTTTAGCTGGTGCCAGGCAACTGGCCTAAGTACTAGAGACACAAAGGTAAAAGCAGGTAGTGGGCTCCTCCTCCCTAGAGCTCTTCAATTGAAAACTGGATAATTGCTTGTCGGGTATACTGTAGAGAAAATCCCTGTTAAGTTCATATCAGATCCCTTCAGCTGAGATTCTTTTACTCTCCCCTTATTGGAAGAGATTGTAAGGGAAGTAGATGTCTGCCATTGAGGGAGTGATATAGTCTAGCCCACTCCTCCACAGCTAGATATAGCTAGAATGACTGATATCCTTGAGTGCAGCCCCATCCCATCTTCTCATTCCATGACCACAAAATAAACTACACCATGCCCTATGTAAATCTTTAATAACTTACTCATGATTGGGAGATATAGTGGCTTGCTTGAAGATCCTCAGTGCATTTGAAGAAAGCTGTCTTTGCTCTCTTGAGGATAAAGCAGGGTGATTTCTGGATGCTACCACAATTCATACCAAACCTATAATTCTGGACAAGCTTAAGGATTTCCTGGATCTCCTGCATCTACCTTTGCTGTTCAAGAACCAGAAAAATAGCTGAGATTGTGGGTGTCTGGCAGAGTCGACTGACACATAAATCCCTAAATTCTTTCTGCAGGTACTGTCAATGGTATGTCTGTTATCAATGAACCCTCTAGAATTGGACTGAAGACATATATGGCTCTATTACTTATCCTTAAACTCTAGAACTAATTTAGAAGGGGAGGTATGGTTGGGGCAGGGGAGTATTTAGGTGCTTCGTGAAGTAACCCTAAGATCATTGTAGATGGATTGGTGATAAACACACCAATCTGAAAGTCTTGAGTCAGTTACAAGAAGGTTGTGTTTATGCTATAAGAAAATGATAGTACACTTGGAATTGGCAAGACAACAAGAGCATCCATGCATGCTACTGTGTGGAACTTTGGGAGTCCCAGCAATACATATGGGACTTGGCATAACAACAAGCAGTAGTACATTTTGTATAGGGATGGGTTGGAACTTGACTGCTGGAGTCCTCCTCTTCCTGTCCATACTTTCCTCTGCTCCCCATACATATAGACCATTATGGAATGAGCAATGAGGTTAAGGATGAAAGATGCATTCTGTCTCATGCTAACTCTTTGAACTGTAGATTTCTAAGCCACTACTTTTGTCTTATTTGGAGAACTTCACTGGAACCCACAATTTATTTTTTAAAACCAGCAAAGGCCTCCAGCACTTTGGATAGATACTCAGCAGGAGATTCTCAGAAAGATAAGAACTGTCAAAGATGAGAAGACATAGAAGAATGGTGAGTCAATAGAGCTTTCTCAAAGAAACTCCCTGAGGACAGAAATTATTTCATTTTAGCCTTTGTCCCCCACCAATGACTGGCACACTCTAGGTGCTTAATGCTTGTTGATCAAAGGAGTATCTACCAATGGAGGAAACACCCACACTGATGTAATCATAGATACATTGAAATTTTGATTTCTAATTATCCCAAATCCTTCTCAACTTCTACAAACACTATTCAGCTCTTATTCCTTTCATAAAATTATAGGTTTAGAGCTGGATGGGACCTTGGCTGCTATCAAGTCCAACCCTCTTATTTTACAGATGAAGAAATCAAGGCACAGAGAGGTAAAGTGACTTCTGCATGGGGTCACAAAGCTTTGTGGTTTAGTTATTTTCAGTTATGTACAACTTTGTGACTCCTTTTGGGGTTTTCTTGGCAAAGATAACTGGATTGAGTGGATATTTCCTTCTCCAGCTCATTTTACAGATGAGGAAGCTAAGTCAAACAGTATTAAGAGACTTGCCCAGAGTCACACAGCTAGCATCTGAGGCCATATTTGGACTTAAGTCTTCCTGACTCCAGGCCTGGCACTTTAAGCACTGTGCCACCAACTGCCCACATAAGTTTGATTTGAGGTGGGATTTGAAGCCTGGTCTTCCTGACCACAAGTCTAATGCCTTACACAACCAGCCCTTTCATACTTCTTATTCTTGCTGTTTCCCCTTCACTTGCCCTAGCCCCTCCCTTCCTCCTTCTATGGACAAGGTTCATCAGCTTTCCTTTATCCTTGTAGTTCCCACTTTCGTCTCTCTCTTTTCCCATTAATCATCCCCAATCCTTGGTTCCAGCCCCCTCCCAACCAAAATATAGATGTGTGTATACATGTAATAGATAGATAGATAGATAGATAGATAGATAGATGGATAGATAGAATAGCATAGCACCCAAAACTCAAAGAACCCAAGGTCAGATATCTGGAAAGTCTTTTCATTGCTCATCTATCTTGTCCCTGACAAGAACAGCTCTATTAATAGTTTATTGAAGTATCAGAATAAATAGGTACATGCATCTATATATATGTACAAACATTTAGTGCTCAGAAAGCCCAAGAGTTCTAGCTGCTCTGATCAGATCATGTAGCCATAGTGCCTTGCAATTTCCAAGTCCTTTTCCCGCTCAATGAAAAACTGCACCTTGCCCAGGGAGGTGTACTTGGCAGCATTCTCTCGCTCCCTCTGAGCCTGCCTCTTCATGGCCTCCCTCTCAGGCCTCTGCTCTTTGGTGATGGTCTTTGACATCACAGGATCAGGGACATTAGGCTTCCTCCATGGGATTGGCTGAAAGCAGAAATCTTGAGGTTGGAATTGGGCCTGGGGTTGTGGCTGTGTCATGACCACCACAGCCTGTTTGGATGAACTTATAGTAGCCGAGTCTGGGGATATGGACGGGACCAGGTGGCTTGGGAGACGTGGTTGCATCTGGGGAGAAGGGCAGGGCACTGATTTCAGAAGCATGGGCTGAGGAGGAGCTGACTGAGGAGGCACAGCTGACACAGGTCTGGCTGGGTTGGAAGGACCAGGCTGAGCTGGATTGCCCAAGCGAGCAGGGTTGGTGGTGGAAAGCCAGTTGGGAGCCAAAGGCCGTGACTTTCGAGGAATGGGCCGAGTCAAAGGCCTGTCTAAGGTAGGAAAAGGAAAAGGCACCAACTTGACTTTTCCTGGAGGTGGTGGCTTGTTGTGCGATGGAGATGGACACTGGTTCTCAGCACTGCCCTCTGGCTTCCACACCTTGGCTTTTCCAGCTGCAAGTAGGCTAACCTGGGTTTTCATGGGACCATGGCCTTCTGCTGGTGTTTCTAACCACTGTTTCATCCCTGGAGTTGGCTGGGGGACTTGGACTTGGCCAGCCATCTTGTCATTCTTCTTTCCCAGAGCATGAAACACCTGAACTGACTCCAGCATGTGCATTCCCAGGAAGCTCCGGGGCTTCTTAAAGGCCTCCTGACTGAGCTCGGGATGGTTCTTCTTGCGCTTCATCTTGGGAAGGGCTGGCTTCTCCTCTGACTTAGCTCGGCCCCCAGCTGGCTCATTCCCTTCCACTTTCTCATAAGAGGTGTCTCCAGCTCTCTCCTTTTTCTCCTGGCTGGGGCCTTTGGCCTTGCTGGTCTGACTGCTGGGGGCTTTTCGGGACTTGCTGCTGGTTGACTTTGCCATATCCAGGGGAGATAACTCAATGGCCACGGAACCAGAGACAGCTGCAATATCCCCAGCAAGTAGGCAGTCTGGGTTCCTTGGTAAGGCTTTGGCTGGTGGTACAGTGGTGATCAGCTCAGGTAGTTTACGTTTAGTTTTCTTGGTTGGGTCTGAGGGCTCCTTCCCTGTGCATGGCTTTCCCTGCACCCTGACCACTTTAGCTGTTTTGACTACTTTGGGTTTGGTGGCCCTGAGACCTTTGGGCTGGTCAACTTCCTTCAAGGGAGAGAGAAGAGGGGGAAGGCGGAAACCTTCCACAAATTTGTTGATGTCAGTAAGACTGGGAATGGGCTCCATCCCATTCTCTAGTGCTTCTTGGTCACCAAGACTCGGGCCATTCTTCACCAGATGGCATTCTCTTGGACTAGTCCCTTCTTTAAGAGCATCAGGGCAGAGAGGGTCAATGCAGACCAGAAGCTGATTAATATCAGGGGTTTCCAAGGGAAGGAGTTGTGGATCCTGTATTTGTAAAGGGACATGGCAGGCTTCCAGGGTCTGGGAGAACTTGGCCTTCACTCCCTCCACTTTCCATTTCTCCTCCTCAAGGCATGCCACATTCTTCTTACCTTTATGCTCAATGTTTGGGGCAGGAGGCAGAGCAAGTAGGTTGCCTGAATTCTGTACTGGGGTAGTCAATGAATTGTCTGCAGCAACCTCTGCTGGCAGAGTGCCCTCAAGAATCTGGACATTACTTCCATTGCCACCCCAGGACTTGGATAGTTCCAGGGTTTGTGGCAAAGAGAATGTTTGGGCAGCAGGTTGCAGTCCCAGGGAAGTCTCCATCACTGCAAAGGAACCAAATAGAGAATCAGTGCCCAGCAACTGAGACCCTTCCCTAGGCACCAAGAAATACCAGGCACTGCTCAATCACAGAATAGCTATGTCTACATTGTCTAATCACCTTTTGAATAAATATGAAACCAGGGTTTAATCCTGGCTCAATCATTGGCACTCTCTGCTCTGCCTTAGTTTCCTCCTCTATAACATGAGTATGAAAACAATTATTCCATCTTCCTCATAGGATCATAGAGAGGATGAAAGAAGGAGCGTTTGGCAGTTCTCTACAAAGTACACAATACTAGACAAAGGTAACACTAAGCAATTTTTTAAAAAAAGTTTTTCATCCCACCTATGCCCCTGGACCAGAGCTATATTTTCACTTGTTCAAGGTCATTCAAGTAGTGTCAGATATGGGATTTGAATTCAGTTCATCTGACTCCAAATCCAATGAGCAACGTTGCTATAGTATTCCTCACTGCAGCTGCTGTTCTAACAGAACACTGTTCCTATATAAGAATTTTGGAGCTGGATTCAATTCAGCAGAGGGAAGAAAAGGAAGTGCAGGTGTGGGGCTTGTAGATACTGTTTAGATGACCAGGAGAGTTACCTGGCCCATAATGAGAAAGGGTGACTCATCTTGCTTACCTCACCCAAGGAACGTGATGGGAGTTCCACATCCAACTGATGGCTAGGGAACCTGGAGCACTCTCTCTCCTCACCTCTTTCTTAGAATCCTTAGTTTTCTTTAGAACTCAGCTTAGCTACCATCTCCTGAAGGAAGCCTCTCCTGATTTCCCAAGCTACTTATGCTTCACCCTCAAATTCCCTTATATTTAGTTTGCATATATTTTGTGCATATTTATTTAATAGAGCGGGTTCCCTTACTGTAATTAATAGTTGTGGCTGGGATATTATGTGTATGCAAAATAGTCTGTACTCTGTGATTCCTTTATTAAATATGAACCTTCTAATTGGATCAAGAAGGGAAGAGTGTAATTGAGTAACAAAATAAGATATCAATATCCCTTCAGGGGTTTTAAATAGTGGGGGAAAGTCAATCATTTGTTCAGTCAAGAGGTATACCAACCCAGTGTTGAAGGATCCCAGGTTCATATCTCTGAAAAAGAAACACTATGAGGGAGGACAGAGGGCAGAGAAGGGAGTTTTTATCTCCTTTCCCTCCCACACTTGACCATGTCCCCAGAGAGAAGGGAATAGTAGGAAACAAGGAATCCAGCTGAGAGTAAGAGCAAAGACATACCATCTGCAAATTCTAGAGTCATCCAAGAAAGGAAATGCAATATGCAGGAGCAAAGAGAGATATGCCAAGGACAAACATGGACACAGAAGTATAGTCACCTATTGAGTGAAGCAGAGTCGAGGAGCAGTAGCATGTATGCCAGTGAAGACTGTTGGCTTATGGACTTAAAAAGGGACTTCTATACAGGAGTTATGAGTACCTATAACCACATATTACTTACACATGTAATTCACTACCACTGTACTTTAAGTACATCTCAGGGCCATATGTGGACTTCTGGGTCCTTGGATGCTATCTTTTGACTGAGTCCAAGTTTTACAGGACAAATCCTTTTATTTAGAGGATTTGTTCTGTGAAGTTTGGATTCAGTCAAAGGGTTGCAGTTGAGGACCTAGAGGGTCACATGGGGCCTTGAGGCCATAGGTTCATCACCCCTACCCTAGACTTTGAAGGAAAAATATTTTATACCAATAGTTTTTACTATACCTTTTCTAGAATCTAATTGCTGTCTACCGACAGATTATAAATGGAAATCACACCAATGGGGGCTCATGAGCAAAGTTACTATAATCTCAGCACCTCAAGGTTACCTCTAGGATTCCAAAATGGATTCATAGCTCCACTCTGGGCACCCAGTCCACCAATGTGATTGGGAGTTGAATAAGTACCAACACCCCCCAGTAAGGGTGCTATACTTCTATTTGCATATATTATCTCCCCTGATAGAATGTAAGTTCCTTGAGGACAGGAACCACTTCATTTTTGTCTTTGTATCTAAACAGCTTATCACAGTACCCTATACATTAAAGCACATTTAATAAATAATTTTTATTGATTAGATAGGGGACTTACTATCTTGAATACAAGACCTAAAATCCAGTATAGTATGGGAAAGTAGGAAAAATTAGGGAGCAGTAGGAAAATCAGACAATAGTGCCTCTTGGCTGAGGAATTGGAATTAATGGGTATTTCCTCCCATTTGACCTCCTAAGTATGCTAAAGTGACAGGAAAGGTTGATTCCAGGAAATGATCTCAATGTGAATAACAAAGGACAATGTTCTCCAATTCTGTAAAATCACAAGGTTTTTGAACTAGAAATGTCCTGAGGACCATATTGTCCAACCCTTTCATTTTATATGTGAGAGAACTGAAGCCCTGCAAAGTTAAGAGACTTTCCCAAAGTCTTGCAGGTAGGCTTAGAAGACAAATCCCAGTGGGAAAGAGACTCATCCCTTCCCAGCCCCAGCTTGGCTCTTCCCTCTAATGCTCACCTCCTTACCTTTCCTCTCCTTTTTGCACAACACTCACCTTGAAAGCCCGAATCTTTGACTGGCTGGGCACAAACAGGGTAGTATAGTCCTGAAGTGGAGACAGGTGGTCTTGACCCAGGGGGCTGGACCTCTTTGAGCACCATCACCATCTCTAGCTGAGATGCCACTGGCACAGAAGGGGTCCTACCTCCCTTGTAAGATACAGTATCATAGGACTGCACACAAGGGCTGAGCTCACCCGCCAGGAGGGGCCCCAGGGTTCCTTGATTGTAGTAATAAACCTGACTTCCATTCTGGCAAGGGACAGACACATTGTTTGGCCCCTGACTTGGCATTTGTGGGGAAGCCCCCTGCTGCATGAGGTTGGCTGACAGTTGTGGGTAGAGAGGCACCATGGTGTTGGCATCTGCAGCTTTATCATACTGGGCTGGTGCTGGTATCGAGGAGGTTGGCGTGTCCTGGTCAATGACTGTCACAGTGAAGTCTCCAAGGGATGGCTTTTCCCCACTGCTTCCAGACATGTCCCACTCATAGATGCCTGGGTAGGAAGAAGTGGCTGGAGTGGAAAGTTGACCTTGCCCAGGGACCCCAGACAGGACGGTGGTGCTGGAGTGCTGGTAGAGGTAGGTACTGCCCATGAGTGGGGAGAAAGGCACCCCAGAAGTAGAGGGCAGGAGCCACGCAGAGCCAGTGGCTGGGGCTGAGACTCTGGAGAAATTGCAGAGGTTGCCAGTGCTGTTCACCACTGGGAAGGAGAGATGCAGAGGATTGGGGGTCCCAAGCATGGATGGGTTTTGGAAGTTTCCTGAAGGAAACAAGAGAGGGAGAGGAAGCTGATAAGGCCACAGAAACAGCAGCTCTCAGTCAGGAGAAATCCCTAACTAAAAGAGCTGTTCACTGTGCCAGGGATATGCTGAAGCCAGCTAGGAGAGTCTGGTAAATGTTCAGTGAGCAGTCATACCTCAGAAATTGGCAAATATGACAAATCAGGTCCTGGTTTATTGCCTTGTTGATTGTCTAGGCTTAACAAAATGATGGAGAACATGTTAATAATAAAATTGTTTCCAATATACTTCTTTCTCACCAGAGAGCTGGTTGTTAAACATTTGCCAACACACCACTGGTTGGAAAAAACTGTAAGGTCCTATAATCCAATTTTCTCATTTTATAGATGAGGAACTGAGGCCTAGAGAAGTTAAATTATCTGCCTGAGGAAGATTTTCAAATCTTCCTTCAGAAGAAGGATTTGAACCCAAGTCTTCTGACTCCAAATCAATTAATCAATAAGCATTTATTAAGCACCTACTATGTGCCAAGCACTGTACTATGTGCCTGGGACACAAAAACAGAAATGAAACAATCAGTGCCATCAAGGAATTTATGTTCATTAATATCTTAATGAATTAGGTGGAATCATAAAGATTCTGCTCAGTGGAATGTAGGCTTCTAGAGGGTCATAAACTCTTTCAATTCTGTCATTCTATCCCCAATACCCATACACACACACACACACACACACACATACACACACACATTAATATATAGGACAGGGCCTTCTTACACCCAATAGTCACTTAGGAAAGTTTATTAAACTAATCCTAACCCCAAACCTTTCTAACTTAAAAAAAAATACCTGAAGCCAAGAGTGATTTTTGATCAGTCACTGGCAGCACTAGGAATTGAACCCAGGGTCTTCTTCTAGTCCAAGGCTCTCTACTATGCCACCAAAACCCTTGAGGAAACCTTACTTTCAGAAGAAGAATTGTATGTATATGTATATGTGGATATGGATGTGTATTGTATATGCATGTGTACACATGTGTGTATTATGTGTTGTGTATGTGTATATTTATGTATATATGTTTGTATATTGTATGTGTACATGTGTGTATTGTGTGTGTTGTGTGTATATGTGTGTGTGGTATGTGTGTATTCATGTGTGTATGTGTGCATATACATGTGTGTGCATATATGTGTGGGTGCATTCTATATTTGTTTATATGTGTATATGCATATGTATATGTATACATGTGCATGTGTATATGTATGTGTATTGTATTGCATTGTATTATATGTATATGATATGCATTTGTATGTGTATATGTATATCGTATGTGAACATACATGTATGTGCATTGCTTATCCAGGACAATCTCCAGTCATCCTGATCTATATCTTGCTACTGGACTCAGATGGCTCCAGAGGAGAAAGTGAGGCTGGTGACTTTGCACAGCCCTCCTTCACTTAAATCCAATTCACTTGAAAGTCATGGCATCACCTTCCTAAAGTCATGGTTCTCTTTAAAAATGAAGGACAAACAACATTGTGTGTATACCATATTCCATCGCAGAATTGTCACCACCACAAAACTCTGTTTTTTCAGTACAAAAAATTGTTTATAACCTTTCATTGTGTAACCATTGCATGGCATAATTGTGTTCATCACACTGCTTAAAAGGTAAACACAGCAGCAACATATTCATATGGATACATATTTATCTCTCATGCACTGTGAGCTGTGAGCCTAGAATTCTCAGTGCACGTGCATTGTTAGTATTAAATTTTAACATACTTTCACAAGTATTCATGCATCCTAATCTTGCACCAAAGACAGTTTAGTAATAAATGATTTTTAAGTAATATCATCATGAATTTTTAAAAGCTTCACATAATGGTCACACCCTGCTTTTTTGCAGAAAAATTTGGCTTAAAATCTGCAGCAATTATGTGGTGAAATATGGTATGTATATGCACACACATGTGTATATGTATATGCATGTGCATATGTACATGTGTATAGTCACTCATTTTGCTAGTCTCCATAATCTCACAATAGGACAGAGTCCCATATTATCAGTCATCTAGTCTAATTATATGTGGCTAAGAACACTCTAGGACACAATATGCTTGACAAGTATATAGATAACCAGCCCTCACCTCTCTGCTGGAAGACCTCCAGTGAAATAGGAGCCACCATATCTTCAAGGCAGTCCATCCCATTACTGACAAACTCTAATTACTATGAAATTCTTCTGGACATCTAGTCTAAATTGGTGTCTTTGCAATTTCTACCCACTTCTCTTCACTAATAGTAGTAATTATGATGTAAGATCAACATTTATCAAGTGCCTACTACTTAACGCATTGTCTCTTTCTGTAGTTGAGGGGACTGAGGTTCCTAGAAATAACATAACTGACTCCACAGTCTCAGACCTAATAAGCATCAGAGCTAGAATCTCAACCTGGTTCCTCTTGATGTCTCCCTGCATCTCCTGAAGGAAGGGAGGAAGCAATTCTGTTCTCAGGGATCAAGAGGAACAAATAGAATCCTACAGTCCTTTTGAATTTATTCAAACAGCTTGCAATTTGGCTCACACTTTGATTTGAATAAGGTTCATCCTTTTCAACCTGGTCACTAGAGCAAGGCTTCTTTACCTGGAGTTCTGGGAACTTATTTAATTTAGTATTTTGATAACCATATTTCAACATGATTGATTTCCTTTGTAATCCTTTGTATTTTATCCATTAAAAAGCACACTTCGGAGTAGCTCATAGGTTCTAGTAGGGAACAAAATGATCCATGATACAGAGAAGGTTAAGAATTTCTGCAATACAGTAGTCAATTTAAAGGGGCATGCATTCCTTGCCTTCTTCGATTAAGTTTTATCTAGTCCTAAGTCAAAAGCCCAAGAATATAGCTATCTTAAGAGAAAAAAAGTCAGGTGGGAGTGACTCTATTACTATTTCAAGTACACACACACACACACACACACACACACACACACACCCCTTGATGTATCCCATATCTTTATTTGACTAGCTTGTCTAAACAAATGGACAAGAGCTGTTCTTTTCAAAATGTGAAAAACACTTAATAACCCCCTCAGAATTGTTTTGAGCTGGGTAAAGATGTCATTATTCAATGGAAAGAACATGAGATTTGGATACAGAGAGCCTGGGTTCAAACCCTCCCTCTGTCATTTACTGTTTGAGCAGGTTATTATACCTCTAAGGGCCTCAGGTCCTTTCCATCTCTAAATCTATGCTCCCATGATCCATTTGTGGAGCCAGGAATATGGGATATGAATATGACTAGACAATATTGCCAGTCATAGTTTAAATGCTCCACTATATAACTGTTTATCCTCATTATTTTCTTGTTTTCATTTTCTGGAGCTCAGATAAAATTATTGTCATCATCATCATCATTATTATTACATTCATCATCTCAGGAAGTAAATTCAAAGAAATTGCCCTTTTCCCTGATATCTACTTGACATCACTAAGGAATCAGCTTATCTGTCTAGAGTGGAAGTAAGTAGGGACCCCTTCTGAAATTTATTCTAGCCAAACCTTAGCGTATTCATTCATTCATTAAAAAATAATAATTGAGTGGTTACTCTTCAGAAGGCCTCATGCACTCTGTGATAGCTACAGTTTACATTTGTACAAAAATGTTTCGAGGTCCACATCAAAATTTAGACAATGCTCTTCATATTTATAAAACGTTTTCCCCAGAAAATCATAGACAATGCAAATATTGTTATCCCCACTTAACCGGTAAGGAAATCAAGGCTCAGAGAGAGGTGAAAAGACTTGCCCAGAGGTCACACAGCCAGGAAGTGTCAGAACCAGAATCCAAATCCAAATCTGATTCCAAATGTTGTACACCCCACACCCACACACCTCCACATACACACTTGCTCTGAACTAAAGCATTCAATACTTCTGCAGAATGACATTGACAGTGTAATAAGCTGCCTTTGTCCCCAGAGACTTATCCATCTGAACCTTCCCAGTTCATTGACAAAAAAAAAAAAGCCTATTGACTGAGAATGGCTTCCACTTCCCCTCTGGGAACAAAGTTCTCCATGTTCATTTTTCCTTTTCAGTTTGAAATGTTTGGTTTCTTCAATATTCCTTCCCAAATCTTACCTCATCTTCTGGAATCTACCTGCCCCCTCCCTGTCTTCATTCAAGTTTATCTCCTTTTTATAGTTTTCTTTCCTTCTTATTTTCTCTACCTCTCCAAGTTCTTTTCCTCCACCCTAAAGGAGCTAATCAGTGCTGAACCCAAACCCTCCAAAACGTTTCCAAGCATGCCTTCATTTCCCAATGTTTTCCCATGGGCTTTTTCCAGGCTCTCTTCCTAGTTTCTCCAACTTTAAACCTAATTTAAGTTAAAATTCACAGTGTCTGTTTTGTAACTATTTCTTAATAGGACAAAATTTTAAAACACTCTCAGACACTTCAAGAATATAGGATTTCATCAGTAAAGGAGGAACAGGTTACCCTTCCTTTCTGTGAATCTGACTTCCCCACGCTTTAGCTTCTTCATGAACTTTGGTGGATGAAAGAAAATTCTCACTTGAGGTGCACCTCAGCATATTTAGCTAGGATAGTTTGGGGGAAATAGACATGTAGTCCAACACCAGGTCCATAGTTCAAAACCCTTCCAGCTGACAGGGGACTTTACAGAGCTTAAATGCCTTTGGCTAGCAATTAAAATAACCTAAGGTCATCTCTGTGATGAGATAGAAAGGAGGATGAATTACTGGATGAAGCTGGAAATAACAAAATTCTCGGTATATTAAAAAAAAAACAACACATAACCTTCAGTTAGATTTTCCCTTCTTACTAGACCACTGCTCTACAAAACATCCAAAAAGCCCTCATCTCATTTCTAAACATTTGTCCTCCTAATTTTTTTAATTCTGCTCTTTAAAAAAGAACTTCAAGATGATCAAAATAATCTTTTCCCCTACCTGCCATGATTAGAGAAGATAAAATATCAACTAAGGTCTCGTGGTATGAAGAAATTACTCCTGTAGTAGTCCAGGTGACTGAAGTCAAAGAGAGCATGTGTCCAGTATGAATGTGACTGGTCACTTGTGATGGTCCAAGTTTATTTATGGGCAGCTCCATGGAAACCCCAAAGATTCCACCAGGTGGGCAACAGGTTTGGCAGGAGAATGAGGTCACAAAGCCTGTCAGTTTAAAAGGATCAGTCAGCCAATCGAGAGGTCAGAATCCTGGCAGCAAGCCAGGGAGAGGTAAGGGTGAGCACTCTGAGCCCTAAGGAGAAGTCTAGTAGTTGGGTATCTTACCATAAAGAACCTCCTAAAACTGGGAAATAAAGAAAGTAGGGGGGTAAGGCAGTTGATGAGGACAGGCCTTTCCCCAGCCTCTTTCCATTAGATCTCAAAGCACCTTTCAGATAGAGTAGAAATACTAGACATATTGGTTCATTTGAAGGAAAGAATCTATATCTAGCTAAGGACATACTAAATAAATAAAGCTGTCCTGAAAACCAGATCCATTATTTAGACCAACCATAAGGCCCTGCATCCTTTTGCACATCCAAAGAAGAGCAAAGTATCACTTGCCCCTCTGGGTCTGTTTTATTTTCTGCAACAGGAGGATGCTAAACTATATGTCTGACCCTAATTCTGAGCCCCTTCCAGTTTCCAAAATCCCATGATCCTGTTGATTTTGATCTCTGGGGAATGAACATATAGCCTAACTTCTTTCCCTGGTCTCACTCTCCTTGAATTCTACCTTTGGGCTGACTGCATTTCCCTAGCTTTTCTTCTCTTTGCTGGCTTCATCATAAATGTTGCCTCTCCTTTTAGTCTTAGGCAAGCAATCTCACCCTCCTCACCCCTGTGGCTTTCCCTCTAGACCTCTTAAGTTCCCCCGCTTTTTGAGGACAATCACTCCTGCAGCAGGCCCTAGAGAAATGGCCAGGGTGAGGGGTTGCATATCCTTTCTCTTCTGGCTTTCCTTCTGCTCTAGAGCTCCCCCGTCTCTTCTCCTGAGTTCTCTGGCTCTTGAGCCTAGGACCATGCAGGGCAACTTGTCACCCCTTTTTCTGCATGGGTGGGGCATCTTGGGGGTCTTTCCTCTTTCCTTACTAGAGTATCCTAGAAGCCAGGGGAGGACCCCAGTGTGGTCATTTAATCTGCCAGTTAATCACATCCCCCTCCCCCCACTGCCAACTGCCTCCCTGGAACCTTGGGACTCCTAGGTTCCCAATGTGATCCTAGGTGGAGTCAGTCAGTCAATGAGCATTCATTATGTAACTACTATGCACCAAGCACTCATACTAAATGTTAGGAAATGCAAAGAAAGACAAAAAACTGTTCCTGCCCTCAAGGAGGCCCCATCCTTGTCTTATTGGGAAGCTCCAACTCATCTTCTCTTTCTCTGGATGTTCCTGAACCAGAGCAAAGGAGAATGACCTAGAGTGTGGGGGGTAGGGGGAGGGGGAAAGGATTGTCACCCAACTAGGAACACTAGACTAGTTTGTCAAGCAACCCAGTGACTGGGCTGTTAGCTCCTTGGCCAACAGGTAGTTAGACATAACCTGCTGCAAAATTTTTCTTTGACCTAGAAGAAATTCCATCAGCCTAGATTTCTATTATTCTTGGAACATGGTACTTGTATTCATTTTTCTAAGGCAGCACAGGATTGTCCAATAGAATGAACCTGGGCTAGTAGTCCAGACATCTGGGTTCTAGTTTCTGCCACTAATTAATTGTGACCTTCGTAAAACTGCAGAACCTCTCTATTTCTTGGGTTCCTTATCAACCAAATGGGGGTGGGGGTGGGGATGCAATACCTAAAAGCCAGTGATCTTTGTGGTATGTGAAAGATGAACCGATTGGAGAAACAAAGGTTGGAGCTTTTGAGCATATCAATTTTTTTGAGAAAAGGGGGTTAAGTGACTTGCCCAAGGTCACATAGTCAGTACCTGAGGTCACATTTGAACTCAGGTCCTCCTGAATCCAGGGCTGGTGTTTCATTCATTGTGCCACCTAGATGCACCACATATTGATTTATTAAGAAATGCATGACAATTGCCTAACAAATTAGAACCAAACCTCTCAACTTTGGCACTAGACCCTGAATATAGGGGGAGATAAATTAGCATGCATTAAAAACAATTAATCAAATAAGAGCGATCAACTAAAAGTAAACAACCAGGTTACAAGATTAGGTAATCTGGCTTCAAGTTGGAAGAAAAATTAGGAACCTTCCAAGTTGGGAGGGGGAGAGTGAACAGATATTCCCTCAGATCAGAGAAAGAAGTGTCCCACTCCCCCAAGTGTTTGTATTCAATCAAAGAAACATGGAAATAATTACAGATTAACTAGCACATGACCAGTTTTCAGATAAGCCATATGAATTGCTTGAGATGTATAATCATGAGAAAACCTCCTGCATCAATCTTCAGATGTGACCAGATTTCTGATCAGCATAACCTAGGTCCTGATAAGGGTCTCTAAGCAGTAAACAGAGGTGGTCTGGCTTCCCAGCTGTGCAAGTCTAGGTTCAAACAATGCAATATCACATTTCCTCACAACTCCAGCAATTGAATACAGTTTTCTCACAAGACAGAAATTGGACTAGATCCATAATCTAATAGAAAGAGAACTGAAATAGCTCCAGAATTGAGTCACAAGATGGAGTCAATGTGTTTGACCCAACTACCATGATTTAAACACTTGTTGCTCTGACTCCTTCAGCTTGACATCTATTATCAAAATTCTAGGATAGATTTATTTTTTAAAAGGGATGGATCATAAACACATAGAAATGAAGCAATGATGACTGTGAACCAGTCTAGATTTATTTTTTTAAACATCTTGCTGTGTTAATTTCCTTTTCATTCTAACAAGAGTTGACTGGCAAATCATGGAATTCTATAGCCAGGAATAGATTTTAGCCAAAAAGTCTCTCACGGGTGAAGAAATAGAAGTAGACTAAGGGAAGACCTCTGTTCAAATCCTGCCATTGCTACTTCCTATCTGTATGTCTTCAGGCAAATAACCTCTCTGATCCCCAGTTTTCCTCATCCATAAAATGGGTGATGATGGTACCTGCAGTTTCTCCTTCATGGAACTGTGTGATCAAATTTGAGACAATGTATAGTAAATGTTTTGTAAATCTTAAAGTGGTTTATGGATGCCAGCTAGTAGTATTCTACCACAATGTCCTCATGGCCAAGATAAACAAATGTGGACTTGGGGGAGTGGAACACCTCTTTTTCTCATCTCAGGGAATTGCATCTATTTATTTCTTGCAAATGAAAGCTTTATCAGAGTTACTTGCTTCCCTTCTAATGTCAGTTGCATTGGCTTTGTGTAAATGCTTTTCATTTTCTATAGAGAGTCAGCTAGCTGATGCAGTAAATAAAGCACTACATTTGGGGTCAGGGAGTCTCAAGGTCAATCTAGCCTCAAACACTGACTAGTTGCGTAACCCGAAGTGAGCCGTTTACTGTTTCTGTGCCTCATTTTCCTCAACTGTAAAACAGGGTTAAATAACAGCATTTCCCGTCCAAGATTGCTGTGAGGATAAAATGAGATATTTGTAAAGCACTTTGCTCTATGTTATATAGAATAAATTCTAGCTATAAATTAATAGCTCTCTCTCTTTTTTTTTTAAAGGTTTGGTCACTAACTCTTCCGCTAGCCATAGATGGGACAGGTAATTTCTTCCTCGCTCCTCTGCGTGTTTGACATCTTGGTTAAACATCCCTTGCTTTCTCCTTTACTGAGAGCTGGGGCACGGTCCCTGCACAGGCAGACAGGCTCCACCAGAGAGCGCTGTAGGCCCCTCTGGACTCCCGGCCCCTCGGGCAAGCGCGTACGCCAGCGTGGTGACGTCATTCCGCCGGCAGCCGCGGTGACACCGCACCGACGGCGTCGGCGGCGCAGGCGGCGCAGGCGCGTGGTGGTGGGCGCGCAGGCGCAGTGCGTCGGGGCCGAGGCCTGAGCCGCGGAAGTCTGGGTGGGCTCGGGTCCCAGAGCTGAGGTGGCGGCTCGGGGCGGGCTGCGGGCGGTGGCGCTGGGCCTCATGAGCCGCCGGCAGCAGGCGCGGGGCGGCTGGGGGGGCCCCAGCGCCGCGGGAAGGGGCGGCGGCCGGGGAAAGGGCGTGAACCACCTCCCGGACAGGTGAGAGCGGAAGCGGGCCGGGCCTGAAGCCTGCGGGGCTGCCTGGAGGAGGCGCCTCAGACCGCGGGCCGGGGGCGGGGACCGTGAGTGGCGCTTCATTCCCAGAGCCCGGGTGGCCCGAGTCTGGAGTCGGGCACCGGCGTCCTTCCCTCCCTGGGCCTCACTTTCCCCATTTGTCCGACGAAGGGAGCGGGCCGAGCGGCCTCCAGGCCAGAGGCCCGAGTGGTCAGCCCCTGCCTCGGCTTCTCCAGCCGGAGAACGGGAGGCCGCGGGGCGCACCTCGTGCCGAGATGATGCGGGTGCCCGTTCCGCCCGGGGCCCCGAGGGTCTGGGTTCAAGTCCCGGCCCCGCCCCCACGCCGTCACTGAACCACGCTGGGCCGTGGCCTGCTGGGTGGGCCCCCGAAGTGAGTGCTTGGTGTGGACTGACTGACTGACTGACTGACAGATCGGAGTGACGTGTGCCCGGTGTTCTCAGGGGGTGGTAGTTGGGGAGGCCCCGGGTCTGGGTGCGAGTTCCGCATCTCAGCCGCAGACCGGTCGGGAGCCTCGGGTTTGGCCTCCGTCGGACGATGCTAGTGAGAGCCACCTTCCCTCCCGGCTCGTCAGGAGCACAATCGAGACCCCGGCTGCCAAGCTGGAGCCCTGAACGTAAGCCGCCGTTACTCCTCGACCAAAGCCCTGCCCGGGTGCCAGAGCCGTGCCCAGAGCTGGGCCTTGGGTCCTGGAAGGCTCATCATCAGCCGCTGGGAAGTTAAGAAAGTGGCCTGAGTGTCGATCACTCTGAGACCTCGAGCTCTGGGAGAGCGGGGGTTGTTCTGGTTCCCCAGTGCCGGGCCCATGCCAGGCACTGCATAGGTGCCGGGCCCGGTAAAAAATGCTCGATTGACGTCCGGCTAGCTGTTGGCACAGGCAGCATGCGCCCCAAAACGTCTCTCCAAAGGGTTCTCCTTGGGAATTTCCCTAA